CCCTGATGTGCGTTGATGAGGCTGCACTGATAGGCAGCACTAATGAAGTGGCACGGATAGGCGGCACTGATAGTCAGTACTGCCTGGCAGCACTGATGGGCACAGGTGGGCAGCACTGCTGGGCTCAGGTGGGCGGCACAGGTGGACGACACTGCTGTGCACAGGTGGGCGGCACTACTGGGCACCGATCATACAGGCACTGATCATAAGGGCACTGATGATCGGTGCCGATCCGTGCTCTGACAACTACTGGTTCTCAGCAGTACTTTTCTCACGCTCTGACAGAACTGGCAATTGCATTTCCCGTGATCAGCGTGTCATTGGTAAAAGGCTGCTGTGATTGGCCTTTTACCACATCTCGTGATCAGCTGTGTCCGTAGGACAGCTGAGAACCGGCAATTGCATTTCCCGGTGATCAGCGTGTTATAGGACACAGCGATCATGGAGATCGCCGGGTGCGCACCCCCGAGGCCTTGCAGGAGAGCGTGTTCTGGGAGGACGTCATATGACGCCCTCCCAGAACTGGCCGGCCACAGTGCAGCTGTCATTCGGCTATCTGCGCTCGGCAACTAGTTAAAGGAGAAGTCACAGAACTATTTACCTTTTGCTATTCACCTTATTTGGACTGTCACATTGTACTTTATTCATGTTAATGAATTTCAAAATATTTATATGATCCACTGTGTTTTTTCTATATTGTTTAGGTTATTAGTCCATTACGGTATATACCCTATGTCGGGTTTGTTTCATTTCTGTGGACCTCATTTACACCAGTTATCATAGTGTATTATACACTGTGTACTGTTTATATTCCTGTTTGCTTTTTCAAGGACACTATTTATTTATTACACCATATATGTATTGAGTTGAACATTTTTATTTTGTTTGTTAGCGCAACACTATTTTCTTTATATTCATTTAGTGGAGGAACACATAGACGGGTGCTTGCTGCTTCGTCTTTTTTTCGTTTTTTATTTTTAGTGTAGGTTTGTATTTGTTTTGTGTGGCAGCACATAAGACCTTTACCGTTAAAGTACAAAGCATAACCACATATCCACATGAGCTGCGCACTAAAATAAACTAATTTTATATACTGTTGCCATGTATGATTCTGTGGGCTTCCTGGAAACAAAATTAGCTTTGTAATAAACTTACACAGAGCATACCTCATATTATGGTCAGATTTTAGGGTGTATGCAGGGCTGATGTTAGAAACCACGGGGCCCCATACAGCCAACCTGCCAGGGCCCCAAAGAAAAAACAAAGTTTACTTATGCTATCGCTACTGATCACGGGTCCCTCCAGCATCACATGCTTTTGTAACATTCTTATTTATCCGCAGTTGTGAAAGGGTGCCACTCATTGTGTTCATTCAGGAAAGGGGCTAGCAAATGTGACATGTTTACTGGACCCTTCCCCCACTCTCAATCCTGAAGGATCCTATTGTGTGCTTGTATTATACACTGGATACGGTTTATATTCCTGTGTTCTTTTTTCTTTTTTAAGGACGCCATTTATTTATTACACCATGTACATATTGAGTTGAACATTTTTATTTTGTTTGTTAGCGCAGCACTTTTTTCTCTATATTCTTTGTACTTGATTCCAGCATACTCTTAATAGGAATTTGCCTCCTATAACATTGCAGAAACCTGTTACAAAGAAAGAAATGGACAAGAAAAGAGAGAAACCCTGTAGAACAGGACAGGAATATGCACTATAGTTTTTCTACAAAGTCGTCCAAAAACATACTTCAAATACAGGATTAGAAAGAAAGAATCAGCAGCCAGATTTTTGAAATAAATCTTTTCTGAGACAGATGTGTAAAGTACCTTTGCTGATTCAGTGTGCAAAATGATAGCTGCCTGGCTGTCATGCTGAATCTATTACTATAATTCTAAGTCTTTAAACAAATAAGAAGACAAGTGTTTATATATACTTTTATGCATAACTATTCTGAATTAGTGAGCAGTGTAAATTTAGTTAATTTCGTATAATTTTTATCAGTGGCATATTTTCAGTGACGAAAATCGATTCGAACTTTTGTCAATTGCCGAAAACTAAGCCGAAAATCAATTTCAATTTTTGTCAAGGAACGAAAATGTGTGGGAGGGGCGTTTCTTGTACCGAAACTTGGTTTTACTTATAAATACTTTATATAACAGCTAAATCTGTGTCTGAAGGGCATGTTCAAACCTTAGTACCATAAATAATACCATGTTAGATTTTTACTCCAGGAGTATATAATGAGTTTGGAAATCCTAGAGAAATGCTTAAATTACAATTTAACTAAACCAATTTCATTTTAGTCAATTAAATTGTACTGGTGATTTTAGTCGTCTAAAACAGGACTAAAACTAAAACAATTGGCATTTTAGTCAAAAGACTATGACTAAAATTAGATGGAAATTTGACGTAGAAATTAACACGGTCCGTTAGTTAGAAATCGCTGAAGTCAGTTCCCCCAATCAATCCCCCTTAAACTTCAAAAGGAAGTGGCCAGGGGTGTACACATGCTGCAACCATGATGCATTACTTTGTAGGAACAATTAAACCCCCTATCATGTTTGGTGGGCACTACTGCCAGCCCAGCACGACCTATTCAAGTAAATAGGGCCGTGCTACATCTGCCCCCAACCATGTGCATGTTTGGCACTGTAGCATTTATGGGTTAAAACAGGTGGTGAGGAGGTGAAATATCACCTCCTCAATGCCTGTCAAATGCCTCTGAAAAGCAATCCAAGTGCAGATAGCTTTTCAGAGGGCCAGCAGTCCTTGTCGCATGTGTAAACAAGTCCTAAATTATTAGGCTACATATACTGTAACTGGATCATTAGGAATTCAAATCGAATCTTTGGATTGCCAAGAGGCCAATTCTGCATTCAGTCACGCTGGGATTGGATTGACCATTGTCTCCATATAGTAGATTTAAAAAGGTGTAGGTGTAAAATTGTCGATCGCCAATAATATAGTGTATAAGCATTACTTGTGTCTATAATCCATTAAAAGTAATCAAACTAGATAGGTCATGTACCCTTGCTGTGGATACAGTTCTTAGTTAACTCGGATGTTTAGCCTTTTCCTCCAGAACAATTTAGTAGAGGATTAGAGTTTATACATACAGTAAAATCCTAGTTTGCCACCAATACTGATAGCACCACTATACCAGGACTACAGTACATTGTGGGTGTGATAACTGGCTTATAGCCTGGAACAGCATGAATTTTACACTTGCTAGTCCTTACAGGTATACTCTGGTTTTCACATGCCATGTGTATGACAACCTTAATCCACCTCCTCTAGTAGATGTTCTTCACAATGCACGGGACATCAAGCTTTCCCTGCCATACTTCAGACACTTATTAGCTCGTTGGACCAGGGATGGCTAAGCAATACAGTATATAGAAGAACATGAATTATCTAAGTTAGGGAACCCTGGAGAGTCAGACAGCTACCTTAGCAAGAGATTAACGTCCACTAAGGGTGGAGCACTTTAAGGAGATAGCTTAGCATGGCCATATTAAAAATAAGTAGAGTAAGTAAAGTTCAACCAGTAGTCACCAAAGCACCAACCCCCCACCCCTCCAGGGCCACCCCACATCCCCTTCCCTCTTGATACACACAGCCACTCACATCTCCCTTCCCACTATGGATTTCACTTTACAGTCTTTTCTGATTATCAGTTAAGATTAAGCAGTTGTCATAGTAACCACAAAGCAGCCAATAAGGTTGCTTTCTGTTTTTTCCTCCCTCTAACCAAATACAACATTTTTCCTGGAGAAGGTGAGAGCAGCCTGCACCTCTTCCTGGCTCTCTCCTCCTCGCCAGCAAAGCCCAGTTATGATCTACCAGTGACATGGCTGCCATTGTTGGGTAGATCCACACTGTCCCGTTGCCAACCCCTTATCTAGATTATCATTTGCCCAGCTCTGTAAACTTGGACCACAAAAAAACCTAGCAGGATGCTACTCAGTAGAATGCAGTTAAACAAAGCTCTGGAGGGTCCAAGTAGCTTGTGAGCCATTGGTTAGCCAGCACAAGTCTAGAAAACTGAAAGTTAATAAAGGATGTGTCAGTAAATCCACAATATATTTAAAAAACAAAATGCATCATGCCAAAGCAATCATTTTGAATTGCTCATTGCTCTTATTGTTTTGCAGTAATGAAAGCAGAACTTTGATATTTTCATGCACATTAACAAACTTTGTATGCCATCAGGCTAACTTATTTTTCAAAATCAGTATGTAAAATGTACCCAAACTACAGGTTACTCTTACTATGTCATTTATGAAATGATTTCTGACCTTGCTCTGGGTTGCTGTAATCTGCACACTCTTATCCACAACATGTTCTTCAAAATGTATGTTAGAACCACTGCCATCCAATTGTCATAACCAATTTTCAAAGAGTTGATTAAACATGAGCTAAACTGTCTGAAACTTGCTGTGTGTATGACTAACAGAGAAGGAAGGTGTTCCATCCAGAAAAGCAGTATTAATATAGTATATTTATCGCACGCTTTTTCATCGATAAAATCCCATTTTTATTATCAATAGGTTTAGCAATATTAAAATATTTTACAGTGCAGCAATATGCTGGTTACAATTGGCTATTAAGGCTAGTTAGGAGTCTTATTTGAACACAGTGTGTTAGCCATGCCACATTCATTTTATTTATAACTTTACTGACTCACTTATATGAAAATGCAGAATAATAAATTACTTAAACTATTAGTTAAAGACTCATAAATTGAATACTTCTCACAAACCTGCAGCAAATAACATAATCGAAAATATAAAACAGATGTTTGATTCTGCACTGATTGAATGTAAAAATTGCTGTCTATTGTCATGTTAGGCAACGTATTCATTCTTGTGGTCAGGATGCAGTAATTTCAACTTACTTTAATTAAAAAGGAATGGTACGCATAATCTGTAAACATTAACATTCCTCTGGATTGTGAGGAGAGGTCTGGTACACTGGTGCTCAGTGGAGTGACACTACTTCTCTAGTTGCTGGGGTGTGCTGAAAGCCTCATACACATTAGCAGCAAAGTCCTTCACTTGTTCCATGAGTAGTAGTTCCTGCAGGGTAATCACAAAGAATTAAGTGTGCATACATATAATAAAATGCTGCCATATTTGTTGCAGCTGCAAATACTGTATAACATCCCTTTTGATATAAACAAAATGTTTTCAAGAGATATATTCAAATTCTATCAAAACGTGTACGTATAATCACAATGGGACTTATTAGTGTCTGAAAAGGTTTGTGCATGAGTTGCACTTGGCAGCAAAATTACTTCCTTTAAACTGACCACGCCAGGCATGAAAGTTTTCTGGTTGTGTTGGGAGAATATCCTGCCCAGCTCTTCACTGGGAAGATCAGAGTACTGCTGTTTCTCTGCCTCCTGTTGAAATGCCCTCTTGCAGTTTTCACCCCCACCTCTCCAAGCCCCTTATACAACTGAGAATAGATTAAGTAAAAAAAGGTATTTATATCATTTTATATATGTGCACAAATACTTTACCTTGCATTTCTATTTTAAATTGAATGGGTTGTTTTACAAAGTGAGGGATCACATATACTTTAAATTAAAAACTTATGTTTTATGGTGTTCTCCCCCCTCCCTCTTCCACATTTGGATATTTTTTATTTTTAAATAGAGCTTTTTGCATGCACACTGAATGTCCATGCTTAAACTTTGTGCAAAGATGACCCCCCCCACCCACTCACATACAGCGAAAAAAAAAAAATCAACGAGTTGTGCAAATCCATCCCAGGTGATCGAATTAAAGAGTAGCCAGTCAATGTAAAATAATTCCCGATCCTGGACTTATCTTTTATCTAATGGGATGCCTAGGCTATTGGTTGTTGTTAAAGTGGGATAAAAAAAATTAAGCTAACGATCGTCCGTTTTATCTTGATGTTTCACAGCAAGTCGAACCTGAGGATATTAAGAATTGTACAAAAATTCTCAAATGACAAAGGCTTTTTTTTTGGTTTAAGGTAGAACCTTCTAGCCTAGATTATTGTTGTTTATTGTTTCTGTTAATGTGCAGTCTTTTGTATTTGATTTTTCTTCCACGAAAACAGTACACATTAAATGAAAATCGTTAGTTCTGTTCAAGTACAAGAAAGATTTTGCAGATCATCCCTTCTGAAATTTTGGTTTGTAAAGTCTGAATAGAATGTCAAAAATTGTGTACACACCATATGCAAATCGAACAACTGGTCCTCGTACAGATTTTTTTTCTTCTGATTTTCTCATAATGTGTACCCCACTTAAGAGTTGGTCACATTGCAACTCCTTACATGTCCTGTTAGGACTTCTTGAAATTGTCTCCCAAAGTACTGTTCGAAATGGAGAGATGGGAAATTAGGTTGTTATTGGCCAGTCGTGTGGTCTGAGTTTAAGAGAGCTGGAAAACCATTTGTTTTGCTCAGATCAACAGAAAGCTGAGGACATTGCTTTCACCCCTACTTGATTTAGAAGATTTGTACCGACTGGGGCATGGCACTGCATAGCATATATAATCTCTGTACGATCTCCTTTATAATTACCAAAACTATATAATAAGAGGACACACCTATCTATTCAGTCACTCTGCATCCAATCAGGTAGGCCCTTGCACTATATAGATGTAAGATGATCTAAAGGACATTGTACAATCAGATTGTATAGTGTATGGTGAGCCCTACAGAACCCAGGACGCACATCTGCTGTTTTGATTACTACAGCTCTGCCCTACATAGGCTGTTATGTGATTGCTCAGTTCCTGGACACTCTGTCAAGTGAGCGATGTATGCAAGAAAATGATAAGGTACAAAAAATGATCCATCAAAGGAAGGCACTGGCTATATATTGAGGGAGAACGGTGCTCACTGACAATAACTGCATTGGAGAAACATGGAACTACAGAGGTGGGCAGAAGCAATCTCGTTGAGGGGGAGGGCAAGTGCAGGGGGTGTTTTAATAAGATCAGCTACTGAAGAACTTCCTCACTCCACTAACAATTCTCCCATCCTGCAGAGCATACACTAAGAAGTCATGAAGAAATTTTCTATAGAAGAAACTTGAGGCTGAGATGAGGCCTAGAACATAAAGACAGCATTTTCTTTTCTGCAATGAAAGTATATTCTTGGTATACTGCTATACAGGGAAGCTGTAAAAGAAATGTGAACTTAGCCTTCATGAAATGCCTAATTGAACAAGCTGAAGTTAGAAGCTGATTGGCAACCATGCACAGCTGCACCAGATTTTACACTTTCCAGTTTTTGTAAATCAACCCCACAGTGTTTTCTAGAACCTCAGTATTTATTGTTTTACACATAAACTCTTCGTCTGTTGTGATGGTGAATGCTGTATTTTTGTTTATAATAAATAAGAACGTTGGAACTGGAAAAATGCAAGCACCAAAAATATTAAGAGTAGATAATAGTGGTGCACCGAAATGAAAATTCTGGTGCCGAAAAATTCAGAATGCATGTGGCCGAAAACCGAACCGGTTTGCGTATGTGGGACTTTCATGTATATTTTTATTTTTTAACTTATGATTTTATTGCTATCACATAGGGGACAAATAGTCCCCTATGTGATAGCATACGAGTGACAGGTCCTCTTTGTAGGGGGGGGGGGGTGGGGGGCAGTGTGTGCAAGGAAGGGGGCAGGAGAGGAGCAATGTATACAGTGAGGAAGCAGGGCTATTTTCGGCCGCTATGTTTGGTGCATCCCTAGTAGATAAACAGGTGAATACACAGGGACAAAAAGTTGAAAATCTTCATTCTTTTCTCTGCTGTGACTTATGTCTAGTAACACAGACCATGATTAATACTCAAGATAAGCACAAGCAGGCTATAGGTATTCTGGGATTACAAAGACAGGTAGCAAACAAATGACTACAAATGTAATATGCACGTCCAACCCGCAAAAGCTAAGCTTGTTCCAGAATTCCTTTTTAAATCTGTTAACCACACCAACTGGATCAAACATTGCACAGGAGATTACCCTACTAGGAAGAGTCATACCAGAAAATTATACTTTTGATTCTGATAGTATCCAGCAAAAAGTCTAACAAAAGTTATAGGCCTCATGCACAAAGAAATTTAGCACCTGAGCATTTTATTTCAAAGGCCAGAATAAATTAATAGAAATAATGAACAGAAATAAAAATGGAAAGAATGAACGCCCAAACAGGCGCATAAACGTGCCTAAGTAAGTTTGTAAGACATGGCTTTAGGCTAATTTTTTAAGCTACTTTCTTCATCCGGGAGAAAAGGCATTCAGAGGAGCTGGGCAAATGCCCAGTGAGTATGAGGCCTTATAGTGATGTCTAAAAACATTTACACTTCAAAGTGATTGGGCATCTCGCTACATATGGAGTGGATCTGTCCATTGACAATTGGAATAACTTTGGCCAGAGGAAGACTAATGGTAGAAAGGCTTTAAAAAAAAGAAAAAGAAAAAGAGAAGAAAAGCACCATGAAGTGTCAAAGAGTCAACACATCTACACACAAATGTATATCTTGTTGCTGTACAAGATGTAGAACACTGGCTAAATCCCAAATATTTGCTGTTCCATGCTCTGTTACAGATGAATACTTAGCTACATACTTTCAGTGATGAGTGACCGTTTAGCATTAGTAATGACAGAAAAGATACACGTGTATTTATTCCAAACCAACTTAATTAAGTTATTGTTGAGGCTGTAACTTTTTCTGTATTGCCCCGCTGGGGGCTGCCCTGGTAACAGTATATGAATGTCACTCAGTTTGCTGGTGACTCTGCCTGTTAGTGTGGACAGGCAACAGGTGACAGCATGAAGGAGAACAATGTTCTGGAAAGTTTTTGTGTCCATGATTTTGCATGTTTTCCCCTCAACAGGAAGAAAAGTGGTTAACAGCTTTGAGGCTAGATCTCAGGGTACAATAGAGGTAGCAAGCAAAAGGGTTCACATGCAGGGTCTATCCAGCAAGTTGACAGTGTGTCCTCTGGAGAAGATGGAGGTTGCACTTGAGCTTATATTGTCTGAAGTCATAAGGAAATCAAGAACAATTTGGATTGTAGCATGCCGTATTGCATATGTAAATACATAATTTATGGACTTCTTTTTTGCATATCAAAGATGAGGAGTATATATTTGTTGCACTTTACACCAAATCGTTATGAGTGATTGTGGACACTTTTGTTCAGCTATTTGCATTTTATAGTAGTTTTGATCAATCCATTCTATTGTATGCACCAAGCACCTCACTGCAATTCACTTAAGTGTGGGTTGAGACTTTATATATAATCATTTGTATTATGTACTCTAAAATGATTACTTGCAGTAAGGTTTAAAATTTTCATTGGTTGATATTTTCAGACATATACTTGTTATTTGAGGTTTTATATAAAAAATCGTTTGCACGTTGCACCTTATAGTGATTAACTTCACATACACAGTGGTCACATACAGTATATATACAGGGGTTAGACAAAAAAATGGAAACACTACATGATTTGCAGGTGTGAAAGTGAAGACATGTGTCACGTTGGAAGCGAGCTCTGCAGTCACTTTTGCAGTAGTTGTTTTCTTATTCCGGGTCAAAATTCTGCACACTGTCATTTTGTCTCTTTTGGTCAGCTGACCATGTCAACCAGACAACGTTTTTCTAGAAACTGTGTATGCCGTTTGTGGCAAAACATGGCTGTCAGACTACCACCCTTTTCACCAACTTGTGACAAAAGACTGGCAACCTCACCCTGCGCTGTCACTTAAGCAAAAAGTGCACAAAGATTTTCCAGCTTGCGGGACCACAATCTAAGTGCCAACAGGCTGAGAGCAATTATCACTGGCTTTAGTTAACTAAGCAATTAACTCTTTAACCATTAGCCGCCCGGCCAATGGCCGTTTGGCGGCTTCAAAAGCGCCTCTGCACTCCGGGTGCACGCCATTTGGCGTGCTCCCGCACATGCGCAGTTTACGCTAATGCAGAGCGGCGCAGCAGTGCGATCTGTCACCGGCTGTGCACCTCGGACACGGCCGAGGACAGATCCGAGTACCGGCTCCCGTTGCTGGTACCATGTGACCTGCTGTGACCAATCACAGCAGGTCACATGACAGTTGTATACAATGGATGGCTTCATTCATGATGCCATCCATTGTATACTAGTGCCTAGCTGTGAATGGTCACAGCTAATCACATGCACATGTCATGTGATAAGCTGTGACCAAATCACAGCTAAGCACAAAAAAAAAAAAAAAAAAAAAAAAAAAAAGCTGAATGAATCGATTTCATTCAGGTAAATGCTTGCTTATAGCAAAGTAATTCTTTGCTATAAGCAAATTGTGTAAAAAAAAAAAAAAAATAAATACTGATCACTTCCCCAAAGTAGTACAATGTTACTATGGTAACATTGTACTACTTTGGTCATAGTAAAATATGAAAAAAAAATCTTAAAAAAAATTAAAAAAAATGTAATAAAAAATTAAATATAATAATAATAAAAAAAATATATATATTTTTTTTTTCTCATACTGTCACCAATCAGTGTCCCTGTTCACCGCCATGCCAGTTATATGATGACGCTGTACTGCACTGGTGACAGTATGTAAAAAATAAAAATAGTGAAAATAATTTTTTTAATTTTTTAATTTTCCGAAAAATTATGACAAAAAAATACAACTTCAAAAAACTCGCCATGCCTCTTATGAAGTACGTCGGACTGTCTACTCTGCAAAAAGGGGTCATTTGGGGGATATCTGTACTATTCTGTCATTCTTGGACCTCAAGAAATTAGATTGGCTGTCAGTACTTCAGGATTGATCAATATTCAGATCTATACCATAGTTTGTGAACTCTATAACTTTCCTACAAACTAAAAAATACATCCTAATTTGGGTTATTTTCACCAAAGACATGTAGCAGAATACATCTCGGCCTAAATTTATGAAGAACAATTATTTATTTGTTCTTATTATTTGTTCTTATTATTGTTATTATTTAAACTTTTATAACAGAAACAAAGAAAAATGTGTTTTTTTTTCAAAATTTTTGGTCTTTTTTTGTTAATTTAGCAAAAAATAAAAACCCCAGCGGTGATTAAATACCACCAAAAGAAAGCTCTAGTTGTGTGAAGAAAATGATAAAATTTTAGTTTGGATACAGTGTTGTATGACCGCGCAATTGTCATTCAAAGTGTGAAGGCGCTGAAACCTGAAAAATGGCCTGGGCAGGAAGGTGTAAAATTGCACGGTATTGAAACGGTTAAACTGCCACCACCGACATTTACCGAACAGTCGGAAAGTTCAACAACATTAGAAATACCACTTAGGTTTTAAAATAAATGTCTGTACACACACTGTCATCACAGACAGGTATATCCAGAGATTTATCATATACAGTAGCGCTCTTCAAAAGACAGGGATTCTTTTAGTTTGTATCAGAACCTTCAAGACAATTTCAACACTTTTCAAATTAGGGTTTAATAATGAAAAGGTCAAAATGGTGTAAATAAAAGATTTACAAAAAAAAACAAAAAACAAAACAAAACTAAAAGATATTGCAAAGTAACAAAGATACAACAGAGAAATAAAAAGGAGTTGAAAGTGAAGAATACTTGCAGGTCCTGTTTCAGCAGATTTCAGTCAATGAGCAAGATGTTAAATTGCCTCTCATAACTTGACAAGTCTTCAGTTGCTTGATAGTACATGAAAGCTGTCAAAATGTGGTGGCACTCCACTTTTCTTCACATCAAGGGGGGTGTTCACAGAGACCATCTGACCAATCAAGCAGTTGAGGAGTGGCCATGGGGGTGTCACTGCATTTATGACTGTATCATGGCCATCCCTTACACACAGTTTTATAATAATATTTATATATCTTCCAATATGTACAGGTTGCATTCTAAAATTGGTAGATTGTAGTTCAGCATTATATTTCGTATCCAGTGATACTAAACACAGAGTATAGCGGATGGGACTATCACCCAGGAGGTAGAAGACTGCTATCTCTCCTTCTGATTGCGCTAGCTTAGTCATGCATGACATTGATTTGTTTGGCATGATCTTCCCTATTCACATGTACACTTAATATTATTGTGTCATGCTCCTGTCTGATTTTATGAATTGTGTGTAGATCTTGTTAAATTGTGAAATGGGCAGGGGTCACTGAAAGGTCACCTTGGCCCAAACTGACTTGTTACGATGCCCATTAGTTCTGAGTAGACATTTTATGGTACATTATTATGTATTCATAACGGCTTAAATTGCCCTACAAACCATGGGTGACAGAACTGAAGGATTTTGCTGTAGTTTTACGATAGGTCAGAGGCAATTGTTTTAGTCTGTAGATTTTTATGGTCAGCAGAAATTAACAGACATCCTGCCAGAACTTCAATAAGATATTTGCAGCTCTGGTAAATGCCTGTGTACTGGAGTCTACTGTCCCTAAGTTGCAATAACAGGCTATTTGAAATGTGAGTTAAGGCTATGGATTCCATTAATTGAAGGAGGGGGGGGGGAGCTACAGCTGTGTCTCTGGTTCAACACAGAAATGATTTCTAGATTGTAAGCTCCAAGGAGCAGGGCCCTCCTATCCCTCTTGTATTGAACTGTATTGTTGCTGTATTGTCTCCCGTTATATATTGTAAAGCGCTGAGCAAACTGTTGGAGCTATATAAATCCTGTATAATAATAGTGACAAGTACAATGTGGAACAACATGGCTGCTACACACACAGCCTGCCATATGCCCAGTATGCACGACCATCACACCGCCATAACCTTTGATACTGTACTTCGCGACATGGTAAATAAATTGGCAAATTCAGTCACAGAGGCACCAGCTAAGCGGGCAGCAACAATTCGCCCTCTTTGAAACGCAGGAAAATATAGCTCAGGCAGTGAATGACGAAAGTGAGGTTTCTCGCCTGTTAGCTACTTTAAGTATATCATTACACAGCAAAAGCAAAAGAATGTTACATAACTTCCGCTTTCAGCCCTGGTTCACACTGATGCGGTGCATAATTTGCAGCGTTTTCTGTGCAAATTCCGCACCACATCAGAATAGCACCCCATTCATGCGCACCGCTGCGGATGTGTATGTTAACAACACCCCGAAATCGGTCGGCAAAACGTGGTGCGATGTGCAGAATCGGATCACATAGGTATGAATACCCATGCGATACGACTCTATTGCGGACCCAAAAAAGGGTCCTGCACCTTTTTGGTGCGGGTACAGTGCGATTAGAGCCATACAAAATGTATGGCTCCAATCAAACCGCACACAAATCGCATGTGATTTGCACAGGAATGCGGTGTAGTTCCTGTGTGAATCACACGCGATATACCGCACAGCATATATGTGAACCCAGGCTCAACGTGAAACATGTCATCACTTTCACACCAGCAAATCATGTACTGTTTTTATTTTTTTGTCTAACCCCTGTGTATGTGTATGTATGTATATATTTTTATATAAATGATATCTATATATATATATATATATATATATATATATATATATATATATATTTTTTTTAGCTAGCAGAAAGATTTGGTTACAGTTGAACTCTCTCAATCAACATTGACCATTTTGAATCTTTATGCTGCTAGCATTAGTAAATAGATAGGAAAGTATATCATATTTACTGGTTTTAATCAGTTTTTTTACATTTCTTTAGTTACTTCCTAGTTTCCATCCCTAGGCAATTTATGTCATACATCCCAGGAGTCTTCTTTGCTAAAAGCAGATGGATTCCAGGAGGCAAATGCTACATGAATCACTTACCCTTACCGAAGATGACTACGGCCAGAAATGCTAAGGGGTGCTTTTTAAGTGATTTCTCAGGAAAATAAAGCATGGAAACACGGACAGATTGGTGAGTTTGCTTTGAATATTAAAAATGAATTAACTGCTTGCCGTCCGCCCTATAGCAGAAATACTGCTACAGGTCGGCACGGTTGCTCCAAATCATGTATATATACACAATTTTGCAGATCCGGGTAGGGGGCGCACACCCTACCCAAACCACCATTCACGGCCTTGGCTGTCAATCACCGTGTTCCGGCCAGTGATTACTTGCTGGCACCTGGTGATCGCCAAGTAATACCGACAGGGGGGGAGGGGAGAGAACTGTATGTAAATAATACAGTTCTCTTCCCTGTCAGCTCCTGCATACAGAGCCATACAAAGCAGTGTGCTTACAGTGAAGCACACACACACAGCACATAATGTGAAAAAGCACTTAACCCTTTGATCGCCCCAGATGTTAACCCTTTCCTGCCCAGTGCCATTAGTGCAGTGTTAGTGCTTTTTATTAGCAAAGATCACTGTATTGGTGTCACTTGGGATGTCAGTGACACCAAGTCAATTCCCCCCAGTGTCAGAATGCCCACCGCAGTTCCGCTATAAGTCGCTGATCACCACCATTACTAGCAAAAGAAAATAAAAATAAAAAAAAAACCCCCAGTATATATACCGCCATTTGTAAACGCTATAACTTTCAGGTAAACCAATTAATTTAAACCTACTGGGATTTTTTTTTTTTAGCAAAGATGTAGCAGAATACATTTTGGTGTAAATTTATTACAAACTTTGATATTTAAATTTTTTTTTTACTGGACATGTTTAATAGCAAAAAGTTAAAAATATTGTTTTTTCTCAAAATTGTAGGTCTTTTTTTTTTTATAACACAAAAAAATAAAAAAAAACCGCAAAGGCGATCAAATACCACCAAAAGAAAGCTCTATTTGTGGGAAAAAAAGGATGTAAATTTCATTTGAGTGCAGTGTTGCATGACCGCGCAATTGTCAGTTAAAGTAGCGCAGCGCTGTATCGCAAAAAATGCCCTGGTCAGGAAGGGGGGTAAATCCTCTGGAGGGCAAGTGGTTAAACAGCACTTTTGGTTTGTGGTGTTCGGATACTGTGTAGATCCACTTTAAGTAAATTGAAACTAAACACTCCTTCAGAACTTCAATTTTCATTTCAAGCATAATTTAGAAGAAAGAAATACCTGTCTGCTGGACTATGCTGGGTAAGCTCTTGGTCAGTAGGTCGAAAGAACTCAGCAACGCTGTCAAGAAGCCTCCCGAAGCCTCGGTTTAAGCAGGAATTCAGCACTGTACTAAAATCCTGACTGTGGAAGAATCAGACATATAATAATTACATAGTGTAATTCATAATGTACTTTTCATTTCTAGATATAGCTGCAGTTTTTTTTATACATGTTTGCACCATGTAAGAAAAAGCAACATTTTGTGACATTTGGCTCTGGAAAAATGTGAATTTCACTCTCGCATGTCAGAGGGAAGATGCAACACTTCACATCTCTAAGACAGACATTTCAGGTATAAATGTAATCTTGTGAAATCAACTGCTCATCTGAAAAAAGCACTACTTTGAAATATTAAAATCAAAGGGATATATAATTGGGGTAACAATATAAACAACAGAATTCTACCATATTGAAGCCTGGAAATATTTTCTTCAAAAGAAAATTAAAAATGACTACAGCAGAGCATTCATTGTTATTAATGGGACTTCTTGTCTATCATTATAGTGTACTTGTGAAGCTGCAGTACATTAAAAAATGTAATTGCTGCAGTTGGAAAAATGGCCAGCTAGTGTGTATAAAACACCTTGCAGGCCCAGTCATAGCATAACCACTTGCCAAATTCTTCTTTTTAAGGGCTTTTCTTGCCCATTTTTCTGAAAATATATGTTTTTAAAAAACAAAATTGATCAGTTTTCCTCGCAGGGGTTTTTAGCATCCAATCCAAAAAACAAACAGCGATACTTCTCTAGGCCTTTAGTCTGGTTCCACAGACCATGACACTGTACCATTCAGCACCTCTCCCAAAAGTCTGATCCATACACTTGGCAGCACCTTGCTGCTCTGGCTCCTATCTGTACTCCTGCACAGAGACCTCCTCTGCCTGCTGGAGTGGAGCCCAGAACCCTGATCCCAACTCTACAAAAATCCCAGCACACATTTGCACAATCTGTGTGCCGGTTGTATCCAAAACCCAGCCCAGCATTTGAGATTTCATCCTTCCCAGATCACTATGAAATCTCTGGGCTCCAGGTACAAAAACAGATTTTACCAATGAGGAAACCGAAAAGAAAGTTCCCTGGAGCCCCTCAACCTGCCTGGTTGAGAATCCTGGGTGAGCAACTATTTTTGCTCCCTGGCAGGGCACAGCCACAATACTTATCTATTCTCCTCTTTTACTGCATGAAAATGCATTTTATAGAAACATTCCTGTTACTACTATGTAGCTAGTTCATATGTACAAGGGGTATTTAACAAGTTTATGGAAAACCATTTTATTGAAAAAACTAAGCAAGCTTTTCAATATCTGTTTATAGCAGAGTAAACTTGGACTTATGTGATATATGCACAGGTAGTATTTAATAGTTTAGATTGAAACCTATGCCAGTGTGAAGTCAACCCGTTGTGGAGCAACATGAATTCTGTCAAAATTGAAGCAAGAACTAATATCAATTTTATGGTTAAACTTGGTTGGAAGCATGAAAACATCTTTACTGCTTTGATAAGAGTTCATGGAGATGATTCACCCCAAAAATCTGTGATTTATAAATTGATAGCCTGTTTCCAAGAAGACTGGGACACAGTTGAAGATGATTAATGAATGGGCAGACCATCGACATCAGTTTTTTGAGGAAGTTCAAGATTTAATTGAAGGTGACCGATGATTAATGGCAGAAAAACTAAATAACACCCAAGACATCTCAGTAGGTTCTGTTCACACAATTTTATGAGAAAATAAAGCTAACCAGACTGTCTGTTTACTGGGTACCAAAACTGATGTGTTCAGATCAGCAACAGACAAAAACAGAGTTTTCAATGGAGATTTTGAACAAATGGGACCAAAATCCAGAGGACTTTCTGAACTGAATTGTAAATGGAGATGAAACTTGGCTTTACCAATATGATCCTGAAGACAAAGCTCAGTCAAAGCAATGACTACCTAAAGGAGCAAAGGGTCCGGTCAAAGCAATTCCAAATGTTTCCTGGGATGCTGAAGTTATTCTGTTAGTTGACTTTTTGGAAGGTAAAAGGACGGTAACATTTGCTTATGTACGTTTTTTGAGAAAATTAGCTAAACAGCTAGTCAAAAAGCACCGTGAAAAGCTTCATCAGAGAGTTAACTTCCACCGTGACAACACCTTTGCCCATTCCTCTTATCAATCAAGGGCAAAATTGAGAGAATTTCGGTGGGAAATCATTAGACATCCACCTTCTAATCCTGATTTAGCACTTTCTGACTTTTTCTTATTTCCATATTGAAAAAATTTTTTTTAAAAAAGTACCAATTTTGATACCAACAGTGATGTAAAAAAAGACTGCTTTGACATGGTTAAATTCTCAGGTCCCTCTGTTTTTCTGGAATGGTATAAATTGATGGTATAATTGCTTACAGAAGTGTCTTGATGTGGATGTAGCTTATGTAGAAATATAAAGGTTATTCCTAAACTTGTGTGCTTTTGATTCAATTTTTCTATGAACTTTTTGAATACCCTTCGTAAGAACTACAATTTAGAAAACACAATGGGATTGAGTTACTAAAGGCAAATGGGCTGTGCACTGCAAGTGCAGTTGCTCTAGATCTGAGGGGAACAAGGAACAATAAAAAAAAAAAAAAAAAAAAAAAAAAAATTTTTTACTTGCATATGATTGGATGAAAGAAATCAGCAGAGCTTCGCCTTATTTCAGAGCTTCCCCTTGAATCTAAAGCAACGGCACTTGCAGTGCACAGTATTAATCAGCCCCAGTATGTATCATTGTGTGCATTATACCACATTACTGTAAGCAGACACACATATATGTATGGTAAATGCACAAAATGCATGGAGCCATTTTAGGGCTCGTTGACACTTGTGGTTGAGGGGTACTCCGCCTTATGCAGCAAAGTCAGCAGCCAGAGTTCATACATACTGTGACTTGCTTTGCTTCTTAGCTGTAACAGGAATTATACCCGCTGGACGCAATCAACCATGAATGGGGCCATGCTGCAACTGCCCCGATATAGCACCTCCTCCCTGACTTGTCAAACTCCTCTGTAAAGTGGTTAATGCTCAGATTGCTTTTCAGAGGGATTTGGCAAGACAGTGAGGAGGCGATATATCCAGGGCAGTTGCAGCATGGCCCCACTCATGGTCGAACGGGTATAATTCCTGTTGCAGCTCAGAAGCAGTCCTTGCCGCAGAGTACACAGGGCAGCCCTAGATTTCTGGCTGTATCAACAGGTTTTTTTTTTTTTGCACCTATGTAACACATATTTCAGTGAGGGTAGTGTTGCATTTCGTATTTTGTTACTGTAACACATATAACAAAACACTTTCAGTGGTATACTGAATAAATAAAAAGATAGCAAATAAGAGACGTTCCTTGTTACATACACTTTATGAGCTTATGTACCAGCAAAGGACACAACATACATCCTTTACCTTTCTAACATGTCCCTGGTTTCACTTAGTAGCCGTATCGTAATGACATCCTTTTCTGTCAGTCCACATGCCTAAAAAAGACAAAAGTATGCAGAATCAGCAATGACACTAGGGTTACTATTTGTCTTATTACTCCAAATGGAAAACAATGCACAGGCAGCATTGGTTCTGCTATGTCTATAAGGGGTTAATGAAGTGGGACAAAAAATACCTGAGATGTTAATGGGTTCTCTTCATCTGCCATCATGAATCGACACAACATTGACTTGCTTCGAGATGCCTCTAAAACTGGGGTTTCACTGCATTCTTCCACCGACCTTCGTATTTCTTTGATATGTTTCTCCAAATCCATAAGAGACAGAGAGTGCTTCAAAGATAAGCTGTTAAAAGAGGATAATCAATGTGTCTGTACAATATGCTGTTTTATTTCCAAGACTCTAAAACCTATATGAATTTGAGATGAAATCAATTTGGTTGATCTGGGAGTCTAAAGCACCACACCCTAATATTATCAATGAAGAAAATTATTTAAGACTCAATGGGACTTTTAAGGTGCTGAAATAAAATCTACAGAATCTAATTAAAAATACATATGAAATAACATGCAATGTTTGCGATACCATAACATGGACTGCACATGATAACATATAAAAAACACACACACATTTTTCCAAAGAATTTCCACTGGTGAAAAGGGAGTAGTCTTTTTCTGATGTGATTTGCTATTTTGCATCATTTTGATATCAAAGGTTTTTCGTTTTTATTTTTTAAATAACAAACAAGTTATACTTACCTGCTCTGAGCAGCCTCCTCTTCTCAGGTCTCCCACCGCTGCTCCTCCCCCTTGACCAGTGCTCCCAATAGCAAGTTACTTGCCATGGGGGCACTGGTGTATGCTCGATCCAGAGGCCCACTCTATACATCCATAAGACACATAGAGCCACAGCTCAGACCCCCCCCCCCCCCCAACTCTTTATTGGTTCCCTGGTTGTGATTGACAGTAGTGGGAGACAATGGCTCCTGCTGCTGTGTCTAAGCCAATGAGGAGAGAGAGACCCAGGACAGCCGAGGCTCCCGTGCACATCGCTAGATCAGCACACAATAGGTTTTTTATTTTCATACATAAAATGTATGAAGGTAGAAAAACCTTCAGCCTTTACAACCACTTCAAGGAGATCAGGGAAAGTAGATGTGTTTAAAACAGTGTTCACTATCTTCAATGGCAAAAAAAAAGTAAATAGAGGTCAGCCCCACATCCCCAACAGTGACAGTAGAGCCCTCTGGGATAACCCGTAGGAGTCGGGGATCAGTGTGCATGTATATTCAGATTTTCTACTGATATACAGTTTATACCAAAATGTATGTATGCTTGGGGGTTCTGCTCTCCCCTTCGGTGGTGCTCACATAAGCTTTACATCTTCAGTGTGCATTGAAAATATAGAGGACTGAGCCTTGAGGAAATACTTCTCTTTTAGATAGATTTCAGAAGTTGTTTGTGTCATCGATCTCTCTATAACTTGTCACCTCACTCTAAAGCAGTGTTTCTCAATCTTTTTTCATTTAAAGCACTCATTACATTGTTACACAATCTTGAGGCACCCTATTCAAATGTAAAAAAAAACGTAACTTAGGCCTCATGTACACATGAACTCTCCTAGACCTTAAAGCTCTCCTTGCAGAAGAAAAACCCTAAATGTGGTAAAATGCATATAAACATGGTACTACTTTCAGCCGCGCACTTGGACATTTATTGATTTGATTGGCCAAAGTATTTTCCACTGACAAGGAAAAACTCCCAAGTGCTTTTATTGGCCAAAATGTTCCTCTCATGAACGCGATTCTTCTAAGTTCAGGAGAGGAATGTTTAACTGCCCCTGAACTCTGCTGCTCCTAAACTCTGGTAACAGCTTATGTGCACATGGACTTGTGCTTTTATTGAGCTGAGTTTATTTAATGCAGCAACTTCTACACACACATAGGACACCTAACGTTAGAGATGATGGATTATTCCAAAGCAAATACTCCTTAGCACACTCATACTGAATAGTGTTCCAATGTTTCTCTTCTTCCTCAGTTTCTCTCTCTCTCACTCAGCTAATGTGATCCCAGTGCTGATGGAGAGGGGCTGGGGAGGGGCAAAGAAGGATGGTGTGATGGCGTCTGATGTTCTCATTATCAACTGATGATGTCATTGGGTGTTAGGACACTGACAGCTATAAAGCTATAATGGTGCACGATGAAAAGGTAGGCTTGATCCACCTGCTGGCTTGTACACAATTTTTGGGCAAACTTTAGGATTTTTGTCAAGGAATCCCTGAAGAAGCCTGAAGGCATCCTGGTTGAAAAAGGCTGTTCTAAAGCCATTATCCCAAGGCACAAAAAACTTTATTCAATGGCCACAATATGGCCTACTCTCGGATAAACATTTGTTATTAGATTAGTTGGGGAGTTTTATGTTCCAGTTGTGCAATAACTTGCTATGAATGATTCATTGGTAGTTGAGATCAAGCAAGATTCGTAACAGGTTTTTACAGTAGAGATATATTGCAGCATTCTTTACCAGCAAAGATGTGTGAACAGTTGGAATCCTAATATGTCTTGCAAAAAGTTATAAAGAAACTAGATAAGATAACTAGAAAACATCAGAAGAAAATTTGAATATATGTGTACACTGATCGCAGGCTTCTGTGGCTTATCCCAGAAGACTCTTTTCTCCTTGTTGGGGAAACGTTACTGATTTCTGTTGAAAATAATGGTAAATATTTAAATAGACCTCCTTTCCCTGATCACCTGAAAAAAAACAAAGACTACCCCCCTTTTCACCAGTAGAAACTGCTCTTTGGATTGGTTGAAATAATAAGAAAATAGGTGGAGAATGGAGGGGATTCTATATATGAAGGAGCTGTGATTTCAAAATTTTGTATAGATGATCATGTATTATTATGATATGGCAAGTTTTTGTTATATAATATGTATTTTTAACAAATGTTGTATATAAAAAATAATTAATACTTTATGGAACAGATTAAAGCCAAATGCAACTCCCAGCATGTATTAAAAAAATGTACCTACCTAATGCCTGAGGTCTTCAGGCTGGTCTTGTGACAGGCAGGGTCCACTTTTCCAGTGCTGGGTGGCCCTTGATGATGCAGAGAGCACCCCGCTTACGTGATGATACCAGCACCATTCTCTGCATCAACAAACTATGGAACAGGGCACTGTGGGGACACAACCACTATTGGACCCTGCACTCACAGGAAGTAAGTTGAATGGTGCTGGTATTTTTCAATCCGAAAAAGAAATGGCGCTCAGTCATAATGCAGTTAGTCTGTGGAGGGCAGTGCCAGAAAGGAGGCAATCGTTGCAGCAAGGACTGTTTTTCTTATTTTTTACAGCTGCTTTTAAAAATAATTTGGGGATTGAATGTAGGATTACAGGCAACATTTTTTTCTTTTAGTTATATTTTCTTTTTTTTTTTTATTCTTTATTTAGTGGAATGCATCAAAATACAAAAGAATGACTTGACATACATACCGGGTACAGACAGACCTTTGGAAACATTAACTGTGAAAAGGACAACTTAAAACAATGACCTTCCCATGACCAGCACACAATAAATGGTACAGTATTAAATAGGAGGCTCACACAGTAAGCAGAACTGCTAGTAGAATGTATGGTAGGGATAGTCATACTTTAAACCAATTCAAGCAAACCATTTTAGGAATAAATAAGGGTGTCACCATTGCTAACCCGCTTCTAAAAATTGTAGTGGCCTGGCTGTTATGCTGTACCACAAGCTGCAATACTTTCAGAGTTAATGGCTGTAACAAATATACAGATCTATGCAGAAATGGCAACCTCCACTTTCCCCATGCCAATCCTAGGAATAGAAAAGAACCATTTTGGGACCAGCAGCGTTCACACAAAGGGCTTAACATCCATGACCATCACCTTTAGACACTGGCAAAAAAAACTGATGTACTTCCTTTATAGGAGGGGGTTATATAGAAGGGGGACTTCCTTTTTGGTCTGCCAGTGTCCATTCACCTATAGATGTATAACTCAGACAGTATTGATTATAGCCTGCTCTGTGTCCCATGATGTACGATAACAAAATATTTAAAAACTACAATAAAGCAGCATGTGCATTTTAGGAATCAAGGGGGTGATTGATCAGATCCATTTTGATGGCTGAGCCCAAAGATGAATGGTACTCTAGCTTCGTGTGGAAGGAGTCAATGAGGTTTTTCCTGTAATGTGACCTTTTTGGCACTGGACCCTGCACTAAAGAACCCTGTGCATTTCCTAATGGGTGCTGTAAGGGTCCAAGAAAGTGGACCCCAAAAATGAAGGGGGACCCAGTCCTTGAAGGCCCTTAGGTGACATGGCCCACCATGATGTGTGAAGACAGAACCCTGTGGCAGGATTAGTAAGTGGAGACCCCCTGGTTTTCTTAAAAAAAAAACCCCAAAAAAAAAACCAGGAGAAAGAGAGATGTATTTTAACCACTAGCCTACAGGGCATTTATACCCTCTTCCTGCCTAAACCAATTTTCAGCTTTCAGCGCTGTTGCGATTTGAATGACAATTGCGCGGTCATGCAACACTGTACCCATATGAAATTTTTTATCATTTTTTTGTGACAGATAGAGCTTTATTTTGGTGGTATTTAATCACCTTTGGGTTTTTTATTTTTTCTTAAACAAACCAAAAACCACAGAAAATTTTGAAAAAAAAAAAAGTTTTTTCTTAGTTTTTTGTTATAAAATTTTGTAAATAAGTGATTTTTCTCCTTCGCTGATGTGCGCTAATGAGGCTGCACTGATAGGCTGCACTGATAGACACTGATAGGTGGCACTGATGAGCATTGACAGGCATCACTGATGGGTACTTAAAGGCAGCATTCATATATGTATAATAATATTGAATAATCACAATAAATCCCAAATTTCTATATAAGCACACTTCACCTCTACCCTTAAAGGTGTACAAATATAAACAATAATATGCTCAGTGAAAAATATAATAATAATAATAATAGACCTTTCCTCTAATCTGTGAATAAATAAAGTCCCAAGGATAAATCAAAAATTCTTATAAAAATCATATATCCCTTTGAGAAATAAATCCATAAATCCAAGTGTCCAAAAATTATGTTCAAATCCTCAGCCTCTGGTAGCAACTTGATTTACCTCAAAAACAAAAACATAAAACCACATAGTGCATTATCCTTAATAAATAAAAATTATATAAAGATCATCCAGTGATATTTCATCCAAGTGAAAAAGGTGTAAACATAAGGATATATATACAAACACATGTGCAAATGCACAATGTATAGTGCAAAACCGTGCAAGTGAATCACTCTTTTTGTGCTCAAA